AGAGAGTCAAAAAGTTAGTTGTTTGGACAATATTTAAAATTTAATTGTTTTTCATAAATAATAACGTTTACACTATAATTTTAGAGCAAGTACTTTGCAAAATAACAATTAACAATATGAGTGCACAAATTCCACGAGTGGTTAGGCGAGTTAATATGACTGATTTAAGTCAACGATATATATCATTAAATGGTCAAATGTTGGAATACCAATAAAAGTCCAAGAATAAAACAATAAGAATAGTGCTATATACACTAAATAATATATCAATTAGTGTAATAATAGATGATGTGATATAAATTTAAAAGTTTTAAATATCGGTGATGCTACATACACCAATTAGTGTACACATTAGTAGATCAACTAGTGTTATGCCATTATTATTGACCAAATTTATTATACAAATTACAAATACTCAAAACCTTTAAAATTATGTCACATCATCTGTTAGTACACTAGTTAGTACATTAATTAGTACATATAACATTATTCTTTAGCTATTTGTAATTTGTATAATGGGTGAGGTCAATAATAATGTCATAACTGGTTGGTACACTAATTAGTGGGTGTCTCTATTTACACACCACATTTGGTCTCAAGGCACATCACTTACTTAATGCACACCAAACACAATTTTAACTTTATTATTTTTGCTTAATACACACAATCCATTTTCAAATATACCTAAAATATCCTCATCTTCTTTAACCATCCCACCAACTCCAACCCTAACCCTAACCCTAACCTTAACCCTAGCCCTAACCTTAAGCCGTCGCCTCTCCCTTATTTTTCTTTGGCGAATCTCTTCCTCACTCCTCCATCCATCACTTTCCCTGCCTTACCACTTCCAACCACAGTCCACCAACTCCAACCCTAACCCTAACCCTAACCTTAACCCTAGCCACTGCCGCCAGCCGTCGCCTCTCCCTTATTTTTCTTTGGCGAATCTCTTCCTCACTCCTCCATCCATCACTTTCCCTGCCTTACCACTTCCAACCACAGTCCCAAACCCTTCCACCTGCTTCTTCCCTCCACCATCGGCTCAACTACCTCCCCACCATAACAAGGGTGCATAGCAAGATATTTAATATCAGCCCACATATACACAACAACATATGTAAAACAGACACGAGAACTATCTTTTTATATTCTAAAATAAATAATTTGAAACTCTTCATTAACTTGCTAGTAACGGGAGCTTAAACATAGAATATATAGCTGGAAATTTGTTCAGAACTGTGAAGTTTTGCAATGCCATAAAATGATATCCACCCTTTATGAACCAAAAGAAAAAGCAGGAAACTAACAAGGGATACAAAGCACAAAAACAAAACTAGTCACCCTCAGCACAATATGCCCCCCCCCCAAAAAAAAAAACTATACATCATCAAAATATTAAAAGTTGCAACCAAATGGGTCAAACACAGACCTCCACATGAAATCCAAATATAAAATGACCCATACCACACAGAATAGATCATATCAAATACAGTCGGAAATTTATTTATTTATTTTTTATTTGAGTGATACGATCTGACAATCATCCCAATACTAGCTAAAAAAATGAAGATTTGAAATAAAATTCTATGCGATCTAAGGTTATGTGAGTCTAAATTGAAATTCTGACCGAGGTTTTTATCAAGGGTGTTGGTGAATTGATTCAAAATAAAAAAACCAATTAAATTCTTTCACTGTCACGAATCAGGCGGCGGAGAGTGGTGGTGTGTGGGGGGTGCATTGATATTCTTTTGTAGTTATTTTGGTCATTTTATGTAAGGTCATTATTGTAATAAAAAATAACCAATTAATGGTGTGCCTTGAGACTATATGTGGTGTGTAAATAGAGGCACCCCTAATTAGTGCATATAATACCACCAAAATAACAATTTTATTGATATTTGTTAAATGTTGTCCCATAGTTATATACCATTTCATAAACTCAATAACTGCTTATGCATTTATTAGAAAATAAGAATAGTTTTATTATAATTTAACCCAAAAAAAAAAAAATCTAAACCAAAACTTCTAAATACACCATAATTTATTTTTGAGTAAATTTGATTGACCACTTTTGGGTTTTAAAAAATGTAATAGTACTCACAAATTTGATATAATTATACTTCTTTTTAATAGTAATGTTAATAGTATGTAGATATAAATAAACAATGAAAAAATATACACTTAAATATAAAAGATATGAAAATATAATTTTTTTTTCTTCATAAGACTAACGAATTACTGATAAAAACATGAAAAAAATATACTATATGAATTAAAATCTCAAAAAGGTCCAATATAATTATGTCAAACTTCTTAGACTCGACATATTTTTTTCAAACATTGAAAAAGATTAGTGTATTTTATCATTTAATTTTCAACCATCACATGCAAATACCTTTACAAAAATTTGGGTAAATTACACTCCTTAGTGTTTAGAAAAAATACATTTATAAATTTAAATTTGATATAATTATATTAGATAATCTCAAAATTCTAATTCACATTAAATAATTTTTATTTCTTTGATAAAACAAAAAGAAAGAGACAAAAACAAAAATAACTACAAAACTAAGTTGCCATGGTAAAACAAAAGAAAAATATATATTAAATATTCAATAATTTTTATTAGTAATAGTTATAAAAATAATATTATTGTATCTTTTACGCTAAAATATGCTAAATATGTATAGTTTACCTTGCAGTACCCCCAAGACCCCCGCACCTCCCACACGTTTTCTGTGAGAGAGGAAAACAAAAAAATAAAAAATAAAATAATGAGTGGTCACAAATTAATTGGAGATTGTGGAAGTCACAAATTTTGAAAGTTCCAAAGCATTATTGTTCATCTATGTCTATATAGCATCAAAATTACTTTTAATCAAATCCCAAATGGTTGGCCTAACATGTGCAGTTAGGGACTTATAGGTAAACTTCTTCCAAGTTTCAGATTTAACTCTCATTAAGTGCTATCAACTTATTGGAGTACGTTTGTGAGGTTTGCTTGAGATTTACCCAATTAATGTGAAGATGATACTTTCCGTGAGTCTTGAAATTAGGGAGATTTGGTGATAGCTCCCTCACTATCTAATTTGTTTTTTAAAAGGATAAGAATTATATAAGTACTTTCAAAACCCAATAATATTTTAAAATTTGTTTCTTTTACTATATTACTCTCATATCTATCAGCTCTCCTATTAAGCCATCTTCACTGTGTATTTTAGAGTAAAATTTTATTCTGTATAACAGTAAAATTTTACTCTGAATAAGAGTAAAATATTACACTCTGAAACTAAAAATAAAATTTTACTCTGTATAAAAGTAAAATTTTACTTTGAAAACTAGTAAAATGTTAGACTCTACACAAAAGTAAAATTTTACTCTGTATAAAATTAAAATTTTACTCTGAAAAACGAGTAAACTTTGAGATTCTGAAGCTAAAAGTAAAATTTTATTCTGTATAAAAGTAAAATTTTACTCTGAAAAATGAGTAAACTGTGAGACTCTGAAGCTAAAAGTAAAATTTTACTCTGTATAAAAGTAAAAAAGCGAAGGTAGTGTTTGTGATGGCTGAAGTATTTGGTGATGACCACCTCTTGACAGTAAAATTTTACTGTCATTCTAATACCAGAGTAAAATTTTACTCTAATTCTCTCAAACAAAAAACAAAGAATAGAACCAGAGTAAAATTTTACTCTTATTATCTGAAACAAAAAACAGAGCAATAGAACCATAGTAAAATTTTATTTTGGTTCTATCAAATGAAATTAAATAAAAAACAACAAAAATAAAAAAATAAAAAAACAAACAAAAACAAAACAAATTAATCAACAAATCAACATATCTAATTGAGAAGAAAAACTTCTAAAACTCGATCAACAATCACAAATCTCAATGAAAAGAATACATGTGTTCAACAACACTCATACACACAAAAATATATATGACATTAGCCCTGTTTGGTAGAACTGTGGGAAAGTACTTATAGCTTATACCTAAACAGCTTATAGCTTATAACTTTCAACTTAAGCTGATTTCCAGCTTATTCTTAAAGCATCTTCTGCCCCACTCAAAGAATAAGCTGATTTCTGACTTCCACAAAGCTATAAGTTATAAGCTATAAGCTAAACCAAACACATCAAAATAGCTTAAATTAAGCTGAAAGCTGAAATAAGCTGTAAATAATTTCTGCCAAACAGGCACATTACAACACTCATACACACAAATATTATAGATCGATTCCGTTTGTGTGCTGAGAAAATAGAGGAAAATATTATATAACATTACAACGAAAACTTATGGATCACGTCTCTTACGTTTTTTACGAATTTCATTTGTATCAAGTAGCGAAGCCAAAAGAGATTCAGGAAGTTATCTCGTCAAATGAAGAAGAAAACGCGATACTTCTTGTGATCTGTTGCCTCGTAATTGCTTGGAAGATGAGGATTAGGTCCTTCAATGTTGAACTATTTCTGGTAATCGAAACTGCTATATTTTTTGTCTGATTGATTCTGATGATCTGTTAGTATTATTGTTACAATGAATTTGATCTGCTGAAGCTTGGAAGACGCGGCTATCATGCCGCCAACCTTCTGCTGAAGCTTCGAAGACACGACTATGGTGATTATGATACAGTTGATGACGAAGTTGATTATATATGCAGAAACTGAGGGTATAATAGTTATATAAAATATTTAAATAATAAATTTTATCCTTTATACAAGACTTTAAAATTATAAGGGAATTTAGAAAGTATAATTTTTTTTTAATCTTTTTAACAATGAATAAAAAGTAAAAAGAGTTTATAACTAAATTTTTCTTGAAATAATTAACCAGGACACGTGTAAATTGACTTCTAACACCCCGTTATAAAAATATATATATTTTTCAATCACTCAAAACTTGTATATATTTTTTTTCAATCACTCCAAACTTGTGACAATTATTGAAGTTGTTCTAAAAAAAATATTAGGGGTGTCAGGTTTATTTACGCAAAAATTTATTAAATGGTGGTGGTGTATAAAGAAATTCACAGGCATGGCACGTGCGCATCAAACATAGCGTTGGAGAAAAGAAACCCTAGACAAGTCGACTCTCGATCACTCTGCCCTAGTTTCATCGCATTCCAGATTTCCGCCAGGCAGAGTCATAGATTTCTTCAGGTACGATTTTTAACACAGACCACACATGTCTATATGTATTTCAGATTCTTAGATTGATTAAACATGGTGGCAAGCTTTTAGTTCCAACAGACAAAAGTAAAAAACGTTTTTGATGTTTTGATGATGAAATGGAGTGTTTTTATTGTGTCATGTGAAAGGCAGTGAATTGGGGTAAATTTATAGTTTTTGATAATGAAATTCTCAAGAATTGGGTTTTATTTCCTTTTCTCCTCCTTTCCTGATACCTGTTCTTTTGATGTTTTAAGTGTTTTATGTGGAAATTTTGTGTCTGGTAGTGACTGCATGATATGTATGGATTATTGTTGTAGTTAATTTTATAAATAGAACAAGTAGTGGGTTGGCTATGTTTTGGATATTGAAATGTTGGGTGATCTTAGATGAATTGGTTCACTGGGATAAGAATGTTTTGCTGAGATGGGTGTGTAAGAAGGTAGATTTGGTGTGGGATTGAAGTTGAGTTTGAAGTTTATAAGGTGGTTTCATCAACTGGAACGATTGTGGATTACTATAAGTGGGAGATGTTTAGTCACTTTGCGTGCTACTAGTACTAGATTGATGCCAAAATGAATGTTGGTGGATATGGTGGAACAAGGCGAGATGACTTGTGATCTAATAACGATACGGGACTATATTGAAATGAGTGAAAAATTTTCACACATAACACAAGTAGTTGGGATATGACATTTTGTCATGGGGATAGTGAATTCTGACTAATTATACCTTGCAGTTTCTCTTGAAGCTTCTAACTTCTAGTCAGTTGATGCATAGTGAATTTCTTTATGTTGTTTGGTGAAATTTCAGGGGTTGGCTTGGTTGTGGCTTTTTTTCCCCATCATTTTCATTTTTTGTTTTTGATTTTGTTTTTCTTGTTTTCAAAACAAAAAATGAAAATTTGTTAGACATCCATTTTTTTTTCATTTTTGTAAATTTGAAAATGACTTTTTTGGTTTTCCTAAATAGTGGGTTGTTCTCAGAAAATTTTTCCAAAAACAATTTGCCAAACAAGTTTTTCGTGTTTCCCAGAAAATGAAAACTCAACAAAACAAGCCCTAAGTTTTTGAACTTTTGAGTTGTTCTCTTTTTGGAAGCTTGATTGAAGTTTGAGGAAGAATTTCCAATACCATTTAGGAATTCTAGCTTCTTAGATCAGAATAAGGGACAGAAATTATAAATTTATGCTACCAACTATTCATATATCAGATTATGCAAGTTGTTGATTATTTAGAAATTACTAAGCCATGGCATTTGCATGCGTGTTTTACATGGTCTGCGTGTTTTAAGGTTCCCTTATTTTCCTGTTTGTGGTGCACGTGGGTTTGCTTGATATGTATGCTCTAGTTCTGTCACCTTTTATAGCATTTTTGTCTGCAATATAAAAGTGATTTTTCTCTCTCCATTTAATATATATATATATATATTCAGAATTTACAATGAGGTGTTTTAACTGCATTATGGCGTCATAGAAGCTTGCAGTGATGGCCTTGTGTGGTGTAATTTGGTGTAAGCCCCACAAGTTGTGGCATAGAGAAGTGTAAAAATTTTGGGCCTCATTTTGTTAGGTGTTAGCCTCTTCAAACTTCATATAGGTGTTAGCTTTTCACATGCAGAAATGTAACATCGGAAACATAAAGGATGTATCCATTTTGTAGATCTGTTTTCTGTTTGTTATTTTCTGAATGCCTGTGAGGTTTTTCTGCTTGCCTTCCTCTAAATGAGCCATAAAATGCACCTTGCCTTCCTTTTTGCTGCTATGCTAGCTAACTCCTATATGTTTTTATATGCCAAGAGATTCAAATATATTGCATGCATGTGGAATACCAAGTAGTCCACATTAAGAGAATTAAGCTGAAATTTACATTAGAAAGAAAAAGAATTATTGCAGGAAGTGTTCAAATCAGATAGACCAGAAATATGTGAAATATTTAACATCGAACTTAGGTCATTGTTAGGCAATCAAGATGATACAGGTAAACTTGGTGGTTGGGCAGATTAGTGGTGGCGTCACTATAAACTTGTCATGTAACAGGGTCTAGTATTTAATCATGAAGTATACAGAAGAGAAGATTAAATAGCTTGAACTGTTAGCAACAAATAGTTCATGCTCCTTTTGGTGAATTTTTCTTGAGAAAGGTTCTAACGTGTGAGGAGAAACTCGGTTTTTTCAGTCAAGTTAGAACATACCTACAAATGATATTTTCACAATTATGCATAAAAACTGTTGTTTTAAATGGGCTATACAGAGCATCTCATCTCAAATGTTGATAAGGAATATGATACCTATGGAATAACCTATGAAACTTGGCTTCTTTGGTATTAGTGAATATCTATCCTTTAATTTCATGCAACTTGTGTATGATTCTATTGGCTTAATCATGATATTGTTGCCATAAGATGGTATTATAGAAATGCACAAGGAGAATGCAAGGCATATGACACTAATTTTATTTTGTCTCTCTGTAGGTCTACCTCTTATTTCATTGCTGGGAATGTATCTCGATTCTTATTAGTTGAGATTTGTAATTCTGAAGAGTAATTGTGGAGAAGTTAGCTGCACCGGCCACCCTTCATGAAATAATAAAATTTGTTTCTTGTCTCTCTAAACTCTCTCCCAGTTCCTTATACGATTCCGCCCTCTCCAAACCTTTCTAGCATCTCCTTCTTGATCATATATTACAGAAATAACCCTAGAGTTTCTTACCATTTTTGATCAATGGGTACCCCAGAGACCTCTCGGGAACCTTGCCCAGATCGTATCCTTGATGATGTTGGTGGTGCATTTGGCATGGGTGCTGTTGGAGGTTCAGCTTTCCACTTTATCAAAGGCATCTATAATTCACCAAAGGGTGAACGCTTAATTGGAGGCACTCAAGCAGTACGCATGAATGCACCTCGTGTTGGTGGTAGTTTTGCTGTGTGGGGTGGTCTTTTCTCCACATTTGACTGCACAATGGTTTACGTCCGCCAGAAAGAGGATCCGTGGAATTCAATCATTGCAGGTGCTGCCACTGGTGGTTTCCTTTCGATGCGTCAGGGTTTGGGTGCTGCTTCAAGATCTGCAGCATTTGGTGGGGTGTTGCTTGCTTTGATTGAAGGAGCTGGGATCATGTTGAATAAAGTAATGAGTGCACAGCAGAATTTTCCACCAATGGAAGAGCAAATGCCCAATATGCCCGGTGTCCCTGGATATCCGATGGGACAATTACCTGGTCAAGCTCCAGTGACCATTGGGGGCTTGGGAGATGGATCTCCCTCATTGTCATCAACTTCTTCTCCCTCTGCTTCTTCGTCTTCTTCTTCATGGTTTGGAGGGCTTTTTGGTGGTGGAAAGAAGCAGGAAACAGGTTCAGATGGCGGAAGCAAGACACAGGTTTTGGAGAGCTTTGATTCCCCGAGCCCACCTACATTTGAGTACAAGTGAGATTGGCAGCAAATATTGGCTGTGGTGAGCAAGAAATTCTCTTTTACTAGTTGTTTGAGACTTGAATTTTAGTTTGTGCTTGTGTTACCAGAAAATGCTAATACCCTAATGAATTATGTATTGATACGCACATTTAGAAACATGGTTCACTTCTGTTCCAAAACGGTAAATTTAGTGATCCAAAGCAATTCCAAAAGTTTTTTTTTCAATATATGTCCTTAAATGTTACCTTAGGAGGAAAAAGATCAAATATAATGAGCTAAAATTTAAAGTGAGATAAGCTTTGATAAGATAAAAATATCAAAAAATGGGTTATAATGCTCATAGAAAACATTACATTTTATTGGATGCTGGCGATTTCTTTATTTTTTGGAAAAGTAAGAAACAAATTGTTGTTGCCCATTTTATTGCCGAAACTGAGTACTGTGCTATGACTCATGCTACTGTTGAAGTTGTCTGGCTTCGTTGTCTTCTCTTTGACTTGGGCGTCCCTCAGTCTTCTCCGACCTCCTTCTATTGTGATAACCGTAGTGCTATTTAAATTGCCCATAACACTATCTTCTATGAGCGAACAAAGCACATTGAGATTGATTGTCACTTTGTCTGTCAGCATCTGCAATCTAGTTTTGTCTCGCTTCCTTTCGTCTCTTCGGCTATGTAACTTGCTGACTTCTTTACTAAGACTCACACCATTGCTTGGTTTTAGTTTATTCTTGGCAAACTCTTAGTGTTTTCTGTTAAAACACTTTGAGTTTGAGCGGGAGTGTGAGAATATTAGGTTAAGTTTATATATATGGTGGTATATATTGTGCATATATATGACAGTGTTTCCTTTTCTTATATGGTAGTGGCAGTGTTTCCTTTTCTTTTTTAGTCTTAGGGTTAGGATTACTATATAATCAGATGTATTTTTTGTATTATGAGACAATTGAATATGGAGATTCATTCAGAAAACTTACAGCCTAATAGTTAAATAAATAAAAAAAAACTTTAGAAGTACCTTAACTTTTAAGTATAATATATACAAGTCTACTCTTATCGTACCACATTTTAGAGCATGTAGCATATCGTGTTCCCGTTCTCGTTCTCGTTCCATGTACCAGAACGATCTACGTTCTAGATAACTTAGGTTTGTGCCTTGAATTTTTTGAGTATGGATGTCTGGAGCTCGTTGTTAAGTTCGGGACCTTTTTGCTCTTACCACATGAAATCATTCAGGGGATCATCACGAATAAGCAAAATTTGATCATATTTTTGGGTTTTATTAGATTGCTCGAGTTGAGCAAGTACTCTTCCCTATCTGTTCAAATTAGTATGTGTGCTAAACTGAGTTAAGATTCTTAATTTAAATATTCACTAGCGGTTGGCACATGTGATGTGTGTGCAAAAATATAAGTGAAAATAAAACATAATATTTACTATATATTGTGTGCCACTGAAGTGGTAAGAGTCTTCTTCCTTAGATCTAAAGTCCAAAGTTCAAGTCTCACTCTTCCCCATAGTTGTCAAATCGGGATTCATATCGTGAATGGAAATGGCCTTGTACCGAATCGCGAATTGAATCGAATCGTGAATCGTAAAGATTCGGCCACTTTTTCTAAATTACTTAAAAACATATATATACATATTTAGATGTTAAATATATCTTATGAATATAAAATATTTAGACTTAAATCAATGAAAATATTATTTTGAATAATAATCACGTAGTTTAATAGGTAAGAAGTTAACAAAGGTTCCTATGTAAGATCACCATATTACCTTTTTTTTTTTATAAATATTTCTTATCAACCATTCTTAATAAAGATGTAATATCACCATCTTGTCTTTTTTCTTTTTTAGATATTTCTTATTAGCCATTCTTAATATAGTAACCAAATAGACAAACTATCAATTTCTAAAATAACAATAATTAACAACAATGTTGATATTTGGACAATAAGCAAATATACTTTTCTAAGTAACAGTGACCAAATAATAAGAATGAATTATTTAGAATATTTTATTTTAAAGCCTAAAACATTTTAAAAAGTATAATTGACCTCACACATGTAATATTCAATTTAATAAAATAGTAATAGATAATTCATAGTGCAACTTTAATCTTAAACATCTTTAGAAGATATATTACGATTTTTTAAAGGGAAAAAATATGAGAAGAAATGTTAAAAATATGTTGGGTCTGATGGAATCTGATTGGTTCCTATTAAAAACTCCATGATCATTAAAATAACAATACATCATTTATATATGTCGGTTATTTTGGTATTAAACGCTATTAAAAGTTGTATTATGCCATTTTCACTAAAAAGATGGAGAAAAAAAGAGTCGAAAATACGTCGGACACAATAATTTTAAAAATTACATGAATCGTAAAAAGTGAATCGAATCGTGAATCGATTGTGAATCGTGCGATTCACTAGAGATTCACTTCCAAAATAGATTCACCCATAGATTCGTATCGATTTTGCAAAAATCGTGAATCGAATTGCGAATCGTAAGATTCTGATAAAAGAGCTCTTCCCGTCTATCTTTTTTTTTTTTTTTTTGGGTTTAAATAGAAAAATGAGGGACACATGGCATAAGGAGAAGCAAACCAAGGTTTGGACACCAAGTCCAGCCTTCACTTAATATAATATAATAGTATAGATAATAGTATAGATGTTTGCAGTACAAGTGGGTTAACTCATCTTGAGATGCAAGTGAAGTTTCATGTCTCGGAGGATCTCAGTTGTGGTGCTTCGATGCCAATCACCAATTTCCATATTATTCTCACTCACTCCACTGTTAATGGATTGAGTCTCCGACATCTGATTCCACACCAAATCACATTGTATGCAAACAGAAGTTACAGGAAATTTCAACTGCACAACGAGCAATGTATCAGTGAGTGAGTTGGGTTAAATCTACTATCTAGGTCCCAGACAATTTGAATACATCAGAGGTGTAAATCAGTGGTTTAATAGACCAGTTTGATCTTAACCCTTTTATTTCTACTGTCTAGTTTAAGATTCGTAAAGGTTTTCTTAAGATTGACTGAAGATGTAAGTTAGTGTTAGGATTGGTCCATCGTAGTGGGATAGTAGAGTCCTATTAGTTATTTATTTGGTTTACACATGTATTTGGTGTGGGATGGTAGGGTTTGAAATCTACTGGGAATCCAATATGTCTAGGATTTGGTTATGGGATTAAGATTCCTTGGGTTTGCTTATAAATAACTAAATGGGGGCTATGGATTTATGTGCTGAGAATAAGGGAGTGACAGGGAGGTGGGAGAAAAAATACAAACAAGCAAGGGCTTTGGGTTTGGGTATTTTTTATCTTATATTTGTAATCACTCATTTTAGGGGGACTTATGTGTAGGTCCTAATAAGTGGATTTATTGTCTAACAGGTTTTGTGAGAATTAATGGTGTTTTTCATCAAACACTATTAAAAGCCATCACTAATTGTTAATTTTTAGCGACAGTTTGAAAATTGTCATAAAAAATGTCACTAATTATAACTTTTATCGACGGTTTAAAAAATTCGCCACAACAAGATGTCACAAATTTTCAATTTTTAGCTATAGTTTAAAAAATTTGTCACAGAAAAATATCACTAATTGTAAGTTTTAGCAACAATTTACAAAAATCGTGACAAAAAAAGTCATTTTAGCAACATGCAAAAAATCGTCACAAAAAATTATTTTTTAGTGACGATTTTAGTAGAACTTATTTTCAATAGGACTTGATGAGAATTAAGTCTAACTATTACGACATATTGGTAGTTTATCCCATATTTTAGTGGATTTATCATACCCGTGAATGTAGGCAATTGGTGCAGAACCACGTAAATATTGGTGTCTTATTTTTCTGTGTTTTTACTTATGTTTTCGCTAGTGTGGGTGGGATTCCAAATCCCAACGCTGAGATGAGTTGACTCTAAGCAATAGAGTACCTAGACAATGTCTGGCCTAAACATATAATCATGTAAAGTTTAACAAGGTTCCATTTTCATATGTTAGTTGTCTTCTCCCAAGTCAGTAGGTAGAAAAGCACCCAACCAATAAAGATGGGTAAGACGGCTGCAATTACTCAAGACTTAGATCCATCTCTGTTCGATGTCTATAGATTTGTTTCGTGTTTTGATGCTTACTTGTCCTTGAATTCCTTCACACGGTTCTTTTTTTTAGTCATGAAGATTTTTTTTTTTAATTTTCTTTTTTGTATAGCAAAATTCTGATTCAGGCTGAGATGTGAATTGATCTATCCTTGCTAATTGTGTAGGGAGCATATGGGTGATTGGATCATGCCATGAGTTGCTCATCCACAAGTTTTTGATGGTAGGATATGGTTGATTGGATTATAGCTAGTAGGTTGCATCAAAGTGGACGGCTTCACTGCAATGGTTTCGTTCTTATTAATTCCCTTCTTCCCTTCTCTCTTTCTTTTTCTGTTTCAAACCTGAATAGATTGTGGCCTTTTGTTACTGGGTGTACTTCAGCATGCAATATGCAAGTCAAACCTCCTATTTTCATAAACTATTTTGTGAACCATTTATGTGCCACCTATTTACATTTTTGTATAAAGTGGCGTGAAGAAGTTTCTTGTAGTTTTTGTTATGTGAATGAGCTTTACTGGAGGAGTGGACACCTTTCTTAACATCATTGAATTTCCAACTCCATTTTTTCTTGGGACAGAAAATATGCTTTTTTTAACAGACAAGCGAAATGTAATATCGTGTTACCATAATTTTTTTTTGAAATATGTTTATGACACGGAAACCAAATTCGTTTTTTTATTCGGGAAATGATTAGTGCCTAAATATCAGTGGATTCTTGGTTTTGGACTTCTGAAATTCATTATAGCCCCTATTGTTTGCATGATGTAGAGGGAAAACATTATCAGTGTGGTGTGTCTCCGAAGTTGTTCTAAGGAAGAAGTGTGAAACAAGAATGGAATAAAGCTCAAAGAATGCTTTTTAGGGACACTAGTCTAAACCTCATTGCTTTCTTTTGTTTTTGTGCATATCTTCTGATCTACTCAAGAGTTTATGAACTATTTAATATTGTTTTTGTGCATATCTAGTGGATGGATTGGTCAACTCATGGTTTAATTGTTTTGTTTCTAAATTGCATAAAGCTTGAAGAATCCCCTTTTATGAAGGGAAAAGGTGAATGAGATAATGAAATTTATACAATAAATTATTAAATTTCCTCCTTTAGGAGGAAAAAAATCTCCTTGTATGCCTTTGATAGATTGAGCTCCTTAAAGTTGTTTGATATTATGACCTTGCCAGGATGATTAGGATGATTTTTGCTCTTATAGTGTTTGAAGTGAGAATTTAGGTGAAAGGAGGCAAGTGGTTGAATTGTATAATTATTATCCTACTGAACATGTCTTGGAAATAGATATATTATGTAATTTCAAGATTACTAAATTCTTCTTATTTTGCTACCAGAGTCAAACTATGGTTTTTATTTTTATTTTTTTTTTGTTGTAATTTCTCAAAAAAAAATTATTTATTGTGATGTCTCTAAGAGTGAGAACATAAAGTAAAAGATGAAATTACATATAGCATTGTTATTATCAAGAGAAGTGGTGGCACTCGCATATGATTGAATTTGAAGATCGAAACAATTTTTAAAGAAAATTCCTATGAATCTCAACTTAAGTATTTTGAATTTACTTTGAATGAGTATTGTGTAGTTGAGATTAAATTTGTGTAGTGTCGGGTTCATGTGTAAGATAAATCTGAACCACAAGATGAAGATTCTGGATAATTTTTGAGATGACAAGGGTGGATTTGTAATATTACTTATTTTTAAATTTTGCAATAAATGCAAAAAAATTAGTTTTCATGTTTACCCCAAATTTCATGAAACCAAATATGATGTTTGTGGGAACAAATTTGGTAATAAAAAAGTATTTGGGTGCATAAGGTGCATACTATATACACTTGCGTAAGTTCTCACAAGTATATATAAGTTACCTTATAAAATAACGTAAATTTTCACAAATATATGTAAGTTGTGATTTTTCAAATGTTTATGAGTTAATTTTTGTATGTTTGTGAAAACTTATACGATTTTGTAAGGTAATTTACGTATATTTGTTAGAATTTACGCAAGTACATATGATATACACTTATACACTTGAGAATTATCCCCCCAAAAAAAAAAAAAAAAAATGTGACACTTCGGACCAAGTCCTATGTTAGCTTTATATAATAGAATAGAATAATAAAGCAGTAACGAAGTTTGAAGATAATGCAAAAGCATGGGCAAGAAATCAACACATGACTGAACCCACAAGAAAATTGGGTGCCTTTTGATTATGTTTTTAGTTTTCTTTGTTTTCGTTTTTTGTATTTGGAAATAAAACAATGTAAAGCTTGAAATCACCCACAAAACAGTTTTCATTCCTGAACGAAAATATTTTTTGAAAATCTCAAAAATAACTTTTTGGTATTTTTAAAAGGTGCGTTGTTTTGAGAATTTTTTTCTAAACGGTAATTCTATTAATCCAAAATCATGTCGTAAATTTTTACCTAGAATTTGCGTGGATAATTAAATTATTGTAACGTAGGTCATATATGAAATGAGTTTGAATCATAAATTGCTACCTGTGAATAAAAAATTCTAAGTGTGTAGTCCTTTCGTTTTTTTTAAAAGAAAACAAAATTCAAGAACCAAACCAATCCATCCTTAAATTTGAATATTTTACATGATTTGTAAAATTTAAGTTTCCATTTGACACGGCTAACAAAAATTGATCTCAAAGTATTATGATTTCACTAGAAACAAAAGTTGGTCATATTTTTTTGTACACATAACAAATGTTTCGATACTTCCTTTTAATCTTGATCCAAGGTTACATTTTCCCAATCAATCCCCACTCCAAAATTACATGTTTGATTGTATTTTTGCTTTCTTTGCTTTTGCATTTTTTTTTTTTTTGTGTGGGCGTGCGAGCGCGTGTATTTCAAAGACAAAAACAATAAAAAAAAATTCAGAAACACCTATCAATTTAAGATGTTTTATTTTATTTTATTTTATTTTTGTGTATTTACATGATTTATAAAATTTAAGTTTCCATTTGACACGGCTAACAAAAATTGATCTCAAAGTATTATGATTTCACTAAAAACAAAAGTTGGTCATATTTTTTTGTACACATAACAAATGTTTCGATACTTCCTTTTAATCTTTATCCAAGGTTACATTTTCCCAATCAATCCCCACTCCAAAATTACATGTTTGATTGTATTTTTGCTTTCTTTGCTTTTGCATTTTTTTTTTTGTGTGGGCGTGCGAGCGCGTGTATTTCAAAGACAAAAACAATAAAAAAAAATTCAGAAACACCTATCAATTTAAGATGTTTTATTTTATTTTATTTTATTTTTGTGTACAAATATTTTCTGAAAATTCGAAAATACCACTTTGATGTTTCCTTGAACAAGGTTGTTGTTGTTTTTTTTTTTTTTTTTTTTAAAAAAAAAAAATTCCCCCAAAACAATTTTCTAAAGTAGTTTACTAAACAAGTTTTCTATATTTTTTTTTAAAATTAAAATAAAATAAAATACAAAAACAAAAACATAACCAAACAAACAAGTCCACTTTGCTGCTAAGTGGCACGTCATTTTGTTCGGCAAACCAAGAAACTGCAGGAACTTTCCAAACAAGTGTACTCTGGTAGAATAATTCCTTGATTTGAATATGGTAACATTATTAGGTACATAACAATTAGAAATTCAACCATGTTCTTTGGCCTCGTTTGGGAAGAGGCTATTTTAGTAACTTTTTAGCTTTTTAGTTAAAATATGAAGTAAAAAAAACAAGTATATTTGGGGTGGCTTTTTGACTTTTTACGAAAAGATGTACAAAAAGTAAAAGAAAAGAGAATCTTTGACTTTTTGATATAAATTATAGGCTTTTTTAGTAACTTTTTTGACTTTTTGACTAAAATATTAACTTGCCAAATGGGGTGGATCTCATACATGTGAGTGTTTTTGATAGAAATTTTAATAGAAAATTTGAAATCTCTAACATTTATATTAAATTTTTTTTACGACTACAAAATTCAATTACAAATTTTATAATCAAATTATCTCATAAGAGAGGATGGTGTCTGATTTGATGATCAGATTACCACTTTTAAGAGAATTGTATATGCTTAGGTGTTCAGATTCTACAGAGGTAAAAGAAAAGTAACAATTAAAATCTTCTTATGCTAGCAATCACATTACACAACATCAACATAAGGCAGAGTAAATAACCAATCATATGTTTTTCATCATTTGAGTTAAAAAAAGAAAAATTTACCCATAAGTCCTAGTTTCTGAAAGTCGAACCATTTAGTCTTAAAAGTTTTCTTATGCTCCATTTAGTCCCATTTGCACATCAATCTAATGTTTGAAACATTAATCCGATGTTCGAAATCTAATGTTCGAAACATTAATCTGATGTTCGAAATCTAATGTTCGAAACATTAATCTGATGTTTGAAACATTGTAATGGGACCTTTCAGTCTATAAAAAAACTTTTAGGACTAAACAGTGTATAAGTTATTAATTTGGGATTTATTGGTGCATCCCCCTTAAAAAAAACTATATTATATAAATTAATAAATTCTTAACTTTTACTACTTTAATGATATAATAAGCATGTAAAGTTTATGAAACTTGTTAATTTATACAAACTTGAGCAAAACAATTTAGCAAAATTAGTTAGCGAGTATATAGAAAACGATATGTGCATCAGGAAAAAAAAAAAAAAAAAAAATCACCAAAATCACCGGTCTCTCACATTTTATTTACATCTGTAAATGCAAGCAAAATATTGAAGTGTCAGTTATTTCACTGACTGAATTTTTCGGTGATGGTAGCACTGCTAGTGCTGATACATGAAATGTTGTGATTGGATGGGAAAATTATACAATAATTTCGTAATACAGGGTGGTCATACTCTGTCATACTCTTTCAATAATCACTATTCACTATTCATTATACTTCTCAGGTTTCTCAATCACCCAACACAAATAGTTAATATTCTACATTTTTTCACTAATGATACTATCATAAAATACCACGGACTACCAAATAATCACTCGATTGGATGAGGCATTATCTGTTGAATTAATACACAATATTAATATACCAACTGGATATAATGTTTATTAATAATAATAAAAAAAATAGACATAATGTTAGGTGAAAATCATATTAAGTGGTTGGACGCATATGTATGTGTTGTGTCTTAATTAATGTATTAATTGATACACTAATTAATATTTTTTACATTTCTGATTAATACAAGATGCTTTCATACCCAACCAACAAGAGAAAGGAAAAATTATTCAATACTCTAAAGTAGTAATTATTAATCTAAATTATGGAACCTATCACTTTTAAGTTATAGGAGACAAGTAATGTGTGTCTAACCTGTAAATAAAAATATGACAAGCTCCATAAACATTGAATAATTTCCCGAGTGAGAGAGGCGGCTATGACTATAAACGAGAGTGAAGGAGTAGCAACAGCTGACTCAGAAAAATTGTTCTCACACTATATGGTCACGGACTCATAATTATTCACCAATCAGGTGCATAACCAACTTCAAAACAATTTCTTTTTATTTCTTTTTGTTTCTTTTTGTTTCTCTCTCTCTCCGCAAGAAATTTTAGACTATTTGGTTAACCAAAGCACTCCATAGGCCTTCTCTCTCTCTCTCTCTCTCTCTCTCTCTGTTGTTTTTGTTTTTACCAATTTGCTTGTTCAACTAGAGCATGGCAGAGCAGCATTTTCAGCTGGAGGTTCATGAATCTGGTTTAAATCCTCATAAAGTTGCAAATGGAGAGTTTGATGATGATGGAAAGCCCTCAAGAACTGGTAGTACTCTTTTTCTCTCTCTCACACACACTCTCTCTCTCTCTCCTGGCTAAAAAAAGCTCATGAATAACCATGTGGGGGTTATCTACATGAAGCTTTTGCAGATATGTGACGTTCTTAGAGTCATTCCAAGTTCATTGTCCAAATTTAATGCTCATGGTTTTTTTTTTTTTGGTTTGAGAAAAGAATAGCTGCTCAGATGTTTGTGTTTAATTCTTTAACAATGAGTTCTATGGAGGAAATATTTCTAATAAATATAGTATTCTTTTTTCTCCCAAATAATGTGAGGAGAATTTTATGAGACTTCTTTTAATTTGGGAGATGTTTCTATCTAGTCTACTGTGTGGATTGGAGCGCACTGTTGGTCTTGTGAGGCCCAATATGAGTCTCGGTTTGATAATTCAAACTGTCAATGTTTAGAACTAGTTGATTACTTTATGTCTGTAAAAAATCAAATTGATTGGATATCGGTAGTCTCTTAATCGAAACACATTTTTGTTAACAATTTATTTTTAAAATCATATTTACTAATGACAAAAATATATTCCGATCAAGGGACTATTGATATCCTATCAATGTAATTTTTTGTAGGCATAAAGTACTCGACGAGCTCTATACATTGAATAGTTTGGATTATCGAAACGAGATCTGTAGCAGGCTTCACAGACCTAACAGTATATTTCAATCTACACAATAAATTGGAGAGAAATCTCTTCTTTTTAATTTAACTGAATATATAAACATTGACATAATAAAAATGGTAAAAAAGAATTAATATTCATATCAGAACTCTCATGAGAGAATCCTTTCCCATAATGATTATAGGAATCTCCATTTTTTGACGATGTGTTTAGTTGAGAGATTTGGGAAGAGATTTTGAAAGAGAAAGGAAAAAACTATGTGAAACTAGGTGAAATGTAGGTATATTTTATTCACATTTTACATACTTTTTTATTTCTTTTTTTAAATTCATCATCAAATCTCCCACTCAAACACAATATAAAAGTCAAACGTGAGAGACCTAGGTACAACCAAAAAAAATAAAAAAAATAAAAAAAAATAAAATAAAACTTTTCTCAAAATTAACTTGAGCCATATTTTGACCTAAACCACGAGTAATAATTATGTTTTTCAAAAATTTTATGCCGATGATGTGTCGAGTTAATAACATGGGGTTAAATAAATGATTGATTATAAAAAAATATTTATTAGACAAATGATAAAATATGGCGTGATTTAAATAATTTCCGTAGACATTCTTTGGTGCATGCCCTGAGGCACGCGTATTATTTTAAAAGTCAAAAGATCGGACCACATATGTGATCTATTCCAGCAGCCATGCTTGGCAAAAAGTGTATGCAAATGTAAAATGTAATTTACTTTTGCAATAAGGTATATCTCTTAATTTATCATAAGAAATTTTAAAATCCTCTAAGTTCAATATATTAGTGTGTAAAGGATAATTTAAAATATTTTATTTTTTAAGCTCCCTAATAAGAAATGTATTTTTTTATGAAAGATAGATTAATATTTTTTTCTCTTTTTTTCAGACAATCTTATCCTAGATATATGTCTTAGAGATTTGAATCAAATCTATCAGAGCAATGAGGCCTTGAAATTGATTTGAGATTGAGACAAGTTCGTTGTAGAGAGTCACTAAGAGAGAGAGAGAGATAGAGAGAGGACCGAAGAAGTTTGCTATTGTAGTGATACTCAAGTTGTGACAAAATGATATATACATGGAAATGAAGAGAGAGAGAGGGGGATGTAGAAGACGTAAAGCTTCTTGATTGTTATTTGTAGAGTTTTCTTCAAATATGTTGATTTGTTGTTAAATTGTTTCTAATATGAATCGATGTTTGTTGATTCGACGGTAAATTTTTTTTTTTTTTTAAAGATTTTTATAGTTAACATGGATTTTATTTGATAGATTTTGAAGAGAGTATTATAAAAATAATAATTTTATTAAAAATTAGTAACTAGATCAAAAGTTATATTATTTTAAAGTTTAAAATATTAAATTACTCATTAAAGATATTTTGATAATAGTAGTATGTTGTGGACTTTTTAAGAATTTTTTTTTGTATTGTCCTTAATGCATTAAAATTTTATTATGAGAGGGTTTTAACTAAATTTCTCATTTAGGATCCCTAAATCACCCTTCATGATGTGACATTGAGGTTAGACCCAACATGATTAAATGTTTGACAAATCAAAATTTGACACTTGTCAGACATATCATTAGGAGTGACTTTTAGAGATAATAAATTAGGTGTCTCAAGTTTTTTTTCTTAATTTAGTCACACTTAAAAAGAGCAATGCAGATATCTCAAAAGTTTGACCAAATGTCTCATATTATTCTACACATGTGAGACGTTTGGTATAATATTTTTCTTAAAATAAGTATAGTTATTTTTATTTTTTTATTTATTTTTTTTTGGGGGGGGGGGCGGTAGGATATTAATTTTTAGTAACTCAAACTCTTCACTTTTCTCTCACCACTTAGGGTGATTACAAAATCATTGGGAAACCCAAAGTGCAAAATAATTTTATGTATTTCCTAATATTGCTATGTTAGTATGCAAAATGCATTATTTAGACTTCAATTAATGAGCTTATCACTTTACCACACAAAGGCCCTGTTTGACTAATAATGAGGCTGTTATTAATTTATAGAATGAAAAATGATATACGTTCCGAATTTTTACTAAATGAGTGACCAAAAGTCTGATATGGGTGTGGGGATGTGAGATATTTGGTTATTCATTTGGTAAAAAAATTAGTATCCCTAATATTACCCCTTATAGAATTAGAGTAAGATTAGTTATCTAGCTGGATTAGTAGAATAAATAACTCACTCTTGTTCATATTTGTTTTGCAATAAATATAAAAATATATAATCTCAAATGTATGTTTATTTTACACTATTAACTGTAAGATTAAAAAAATCGCTGATTTTGTTGAATAGAATGTCCATTGCAATCTCATCCAAATAACAAAAATTATAACCAAACATTGAAATATGAGTCCTATGAGTTAATAATACCAATCCAATACTATAATTCGTCCAATCAAATTCAATCCAAGAGTCCTAAATGTGTGTTGTTGTGTTGCATTAAAGGGAATTTGTGGACTACAAGCGCACACATAATAACAGCCATAATAGGTTCAGGAGTTCTGTCCCTGGCCTGGTGTGTGGCTCAACTCGGATGGGTCGTTGGAGTCGCCACACTGCTCATCTTCTCCCTCATCACACTCTATACTTCCAATCTCCTAGCAGATTGTTACCGATCTCCCGATCCAGCCACCGGCAAAAGAAACTACACCTACACCGATGCTGTCAAAACAAACTTAGGTAATATAAACAGCAGTGCTAGAAACATAGATAAAATTGACAAAGCGGGACACATGCATGAGCACCCTTTGTTTCTCATATCTGTGTCCCATTTTGTAAATTTCGTATATGTGCACTTGGAAATTTTCCAATGGAATTACCCTATATATATATAATATATATTTCATTGCACACAACACATTTCATGAATGAATGTTCACTACTACGCCTAAGTTTTAATTTCTTTGAAATTTGAATGTACAGGGGACAATGTATGTGGCATGTGGAATTGTTCAATATGCCAACCTCTGTGGGATGGTTATTGGCTATACAATCACTGCCTCAATAAGCATAGGTGTAAGCTACTTCAAAAGATTTAAATTAATTTAAAAAAAAAAGTAAATGACACTGTTTCCCTTGAACTAAATTATTTTCTTATATATTTTGGCTTTTTTGGCACTACCTGTTGACATATTTTTCTGGAGACAAATGGCTGAAAGGATAAAAAGAGCCAGTTGAGGGGGTTGTGAGCCTACTTGGTCTTATTTTGATAATTTGAACAGTTCATTTTGTAGGGTTTACAAAGTAGACTGTTCATTCAAAAATGAAGTTGAATATCGGATTATGGTAGCCACATGATTGAGTCACATTTATTTAAAAAAAATAGATGGTTTATTTTTGAAATCATATTTGTTGTTAATTTATTTCAAGACAAATAGTTTTGATCATGTCACTATAAATGTTTGATCAATCTAATTTTTGTATAGAAGATCTGTTCGGTGGTTATATAAGATGAATGATTTGGATTCACCAAATTGAATACACCAAGGACTCTCAAATGAACCTCCGTCCGATTAAAAGCTTGATCACGATAAAAAAAAATGGGCAGTTGAGAAATTATGTTTTTTTTTAAATGCCCTAAAAAAATGGACAGAAAGTTGACATTGAAGCACTTCTATAATTGAAGGGTATAATTGAGACAAAATGTAAGTACCCGAGGGATGAAACGAACAAGTAAGCATAGTTTTAGGCAACAGTGTAATTTATCTTATAATATAAAAAAAAAGAAATGAAATGTCCACATGAAATATATAAACTAATGAAATGTGATGGTTTTTCAGGGCCATAAAAAAAGTCAAATATGCTATCACAATAGAGGTCGTGAAGCTCAATGCAAGTTTTTCCAATAACCCATACATGATTGGGTTGGGAATTCTTGAGATTTTTCTTTCTCAAATCCCAGAACTTCCACAAGCTTTCAATGCTCTCCATTGTTGCAGCATTCATGTCCTTTGGTTATTCCTCTTCATTGGAATGGGAACTTGCCTTCGCAAAGGTTGTCTCAGGTAAATCTCTTTCACCTCTTCTCACCAATTTTGAATGCAACAAAAAAAATATAAGAACAAGCATATTGTTATAATGTTCTCGTACTAAAATCCCATGTATTCGAAAAAAAATCTTTTTATTTTTTATTTTATTTTCTTTTCTTTCTTTTATATATATATATATATATTTATTTATTATAAATATATTCAAAATTTTTAACTAAAAAAATCTTACTTTAAGAGTCCTCCTCTCAGAGGAGGAGTCTCATAAGTTTGAGGAGATTATGAAGTCTCTATTGCTATTTAATAAAAAAAGATTTTTTAAAGAGAACCTACAAAATTCTATGTGAGGTTCATCAAATTATTTGAATCATATTAATTGGAGGAAGAGTTGAAAATTTCATTTCTCCTCCAAAATTTAAAGCTAGCATTCAATCAATTGTTTGAAGGAATGTTAAAAAAATTTAATTTCTTAAACAAGTGACTTTTTTTTTTTTTTTTTTTTTATCAATTATGACTTTATTAAATATTATTAATAAATACTATGCAATAATTTTTATTTTTATTTGAGTATTTATATATATATATTTATTTATTTATAATTTATAATTATATAATATTAATTATGACGTCACGGTTCAACCATTTTGACCCGACGGTTGAACCGGTGACCCGTCCACCCAATCCCTTTTTCGGTTTGCTCACTGATTCGGTTTTCAAAACATTGCATCCCAATTTATAAGTTGATTGATGCTAAAAGAACCATATGATGTTGGTTACACCCAAAATAAATCTAGTCGCATTATTCAAATTCTAAGCTATGTATGTAACATTGATGTTTCTCATATCAAGTTGACACATTTCTTTTGGTCACCAATAGCATATAAGTAATTTAATTTTCCTTCCATTTTCTTTCTCTCGACAAATCTAAAATCAAAACATAGAAAACATATTTTATTCTAGGCCTAGCAATTGGGCAAGAATGGCTGAGAATTATTAACAAATAATGGGATTTTGAAACAGGGGGAGGACAGAGGACTACCATGACAGGAGTCGAAGTTGGGATAGACATATCTGCGGCTGAGAAAACCTGGAGAATGTTTCAAGCATTTGGCGACATCGCATTCGCTTTCTCATATTCTCAACTTCTTATTGAAATCCAAGTGAGAAAAAATCAATGATCAAGAACTTTAAATATTGGGTTATTAATCAAATTCAAATTGTGTCATTTTATCAACAGAAAATCAGGTCAAGGATATAAAAAAAGAAAAAGAAAAAGTGTCATAATGTATTTGCTGTGATGTTTTAGGACACATTGAAATCATCAAAACCTGAAAACAAAGTGATGAAAAAGGCTAACGTGATGGCGTTGTTGACGACTACAACATTCTATATGATGTGCGGTTGTTTTGGCTACGCAGCATTTGGGGATCGTGCACCAGGCAATTTGCTAACCGGCTTTGGATTTTACGAGCCATTTTGGTTAGTCGACATGGCCAACATTTTCATTGTGGTGCACCTCGTGGGAGCATATCAGGTTCAAAATATTACCAAAAACTTATCTAAATTGATAAGTCACATGATTCTGTTTGGAAATCTTGTATCCTCTTATCCCAACTTCTCTCAACCCGCTACAATGTGACGCTAAGAGAGGCATGAGATGAGGGGACACGACATTTTCCAGAAAGAGGAAGCTTATCTCCAGTCCATTATTTTTTTCCTGGAGGGTCTTGTTTGTGTGGTTGTGGGCTACCACAGGCCTATCTCAGTGATTTAAACCGTTTAACTTGTATGGTTTGGATTCACAATTAGGCCTATCTATTTTTTACATAAATAATCTGTTTGGCGAGATTTACAGTTTGAATGGTGTGGATCACCGAATTAAGTTCAGGATAGGCTCACAACAATCCAAACTAAAAACCTTCTAATCCAATTTTTGGACCGAACACAAGCTTAGTCCTTTCCTAGCTCCACAATATTTAAGATGATTACAATTCTGAAATGGTTTTGGGCAGGTATTTTCACAACCCGTGTTTAGCGCGGTCGAGTCGTGGGCTAACATGAGGTGGTCCAAGTCCACATTCGTAATGGGGGAGTACCCGATGGCCATTGGCAACAAGTTCAAGTTCAATGCCAATTTCTTCAGGCTAACCTGGAGAACCATATTTGTCATACTGGCAACCACTCTGGCAATGGCGTTACCCTTCTTCAATGACATACTTGCCCTTCTGGGCGCCATCGGGTACTGGCCGCTCACAGTTTTTTTCCCGGTGGAGATGTACATCGCGAAGAGGAGAATCAGGAGGTGGACTAACCGGTGGCTCGGGCTCCAGCTCATAAATGTGGTGTGCTTCCTTGTTGCATTGGCTGCAACCTGTGGCTCAATCCAAGGTCTGAGTAAGGCTTTCAATGCCAACAAGCCCTTTCAGGCCAAAGAGTAAAATAACAAGCTCTTTAAATAATATATAATCATATGAGCTAGTATTATCGGTCATTGAGTTTGTGTCCATGCAAGCATTATGTGATGCTCTGCTAATTAATTAGAATCTATTTTGCAAGTGTTTGAGAAATGTCTGTGAACGTTGTTTTATTAGTTGAATCCGTGACTTGGCTTTGTATTAAACAATTATAAATCTACTATGCAACTCTAATTTCTAAGCAACTCACTAATACAACTACATGAAGCCCAATTTATCAGGGCATACTTGCCATCGCTAAATATTTTAGTTTTTGCAGTGGTGGTGTGGTGGCAGCGGTAAGGTAATGGTGGATGTGATGGTGGTGGCAGTGCGGTAATAGAGTGCTATTGATAAAACTTTAGTCCCGAAACTATTTTTCAAAATATGTAAACTTTTGCGTTTTTGTTATATCAAATGCTAGAAAATACAAATGTCCCTCTCTGTGAAAGTTACAAGAAAATTCATTCAAACAAACGGAATGTAAACTCCAAAAAAGACTTGAACAAAACTTGTACGAAGGAGAGACCAAGTAAAATCTTATGTGACAATTGTTTACTAAGACAACCAAGTAAAATCTAAATATTTAAATATTTATATTAGCCTTCTACAATTTAAACATTTTTATATTAGCCCCCCAAACTTATAAAAATCTCATTAGCTCCTCCATACAATTTTGAGTATTTATATATATAAAAAAATCTAGCTAAAATTTATTTAGTTTTATTTTAGCCCTCCAAAATCTAAATTAATTTTCCTGGGCTCCTTTGCAAAATTTATGAGTTTTGCATGGGAAGTAGATTGATAATTCTAAAGTAGATAGTTGAATAGAGATGGGAAAAATACGTTTTGTTTAAATCTTTTTACAAGTTGAATCATTCATGTAAGGATTTTAAATAATTAAATTCACCAACTTATTTCAAATTTATCAATTCAAATCTCTCAAACTCATTCTTCAAAATCCTAACCAAAAAAAAAAAAGAAAAAAAAGTCATTCTTAAAATCTGAACGTAAAATACTACATTGAATTAAAGTTTTACTCCATAAGCAAGTGATTTTTTCATTTTAAAACCATAAACCGAAATGCAACCTAGAAAATTTTATCTGCTAATCTATTGGCTTTTTACATGTTTGGAAACTTTCAAATAAGTCACATTTTATTTATTTATTTATTTGTCTTTTGTGACATTGTTTCAAAATTGTGTACAATTTTTTTAAAAAAATTTTCCGGTCAGTTTTATGTTGATGAATCTAATGAGTGTATTTATTTTTGAAAAATTTCAAAAAAAATAAAATAAAATGCCAAAAGTCCACTATTTTCAACTTTTTTTTTTTGTCTTTTCGGGATTTTTTTTTTTATCAAAAGTTAAAAATTTTCAATTTGTCATATTGAGTAGAATTTAGAAATTTAATAATTTTTGAAAATTTTTATCAAAAAAACAAACTCCAAACACCCATGATTTTTTCCATGTTTTACATTAATGCACATATTTCCCCTAACATCCAACCACATTTTTTTTTGGTCTTATAAAATTGACTATCAAATTTTGATAATATCTGACATTTTACAATGTATTCGTTTAATGGACTCCACATTTTATATCTTATACCAGTAAATCTCATCTTTTTCTAATTGGTTTTGCCTTTCCCAACATTTTATATCTGAGAAGATAGAACTTTTTGCTTTGTTGACCCCAAAATTTGGGTGTTCAAAATTCCACAAGACAGAAAACATTAGTAGAACATGAAACTTGAAAGCATAGAAATTTACAATTTTATAAAAGATAAAAATAAAAAAATTAATTCGGTGACTCTTTACGACTTCCAAGTTTTCAAAGATTATATGTCTAAAAACTTTTTTTTTTAAAAATTTTTTTGAAGGGAGATTTATTAGGAAATTCTCTTTTAACTACTCTATCTCAATTATTTTATAATGTATATTTCAATAAGTCTTATAATTTAAACATTTGATCCACCGTATCTATCATATTTAAAGTATTTTATAGATAATTTTATCCTTACAAATATTTTTTGAACGCTTAGCAATTTAGTAATATGAACATTCATATTTTACTATGAATGTTCACAGGAACATTCACACTACAAAAAATTAAGGTTTTAGAGACCCAAATTTAGAGACAAAATTATTTTGTAGGGACTAAATATTTTTGTTGCAAAAAGTGTCGTTATTATATTTTTAGCAACAAAAATTGGACATTAGTGATGAATTATTATCTTTTTGAGACCAAATTTTTTGTCTCAAAAAATAAATCATTTTGAGACCAATTTATTTTGTCTCTAAAAGTGTATTTATTAGTGACATTTTTAAAATTTTGTCACTAAAAGCCTTATTTTTTACTTTTCGAGATGACCTTTTAACGACTATCCTCACGACAATAGAAATTAGTCCGTAAATGTCTTTTGCAACAAAATTTTCACTATTAGAGACCAATAAATTTGGTTTCTAAAACTTTTATATGTTGTAGTGTCACAATGTCAATGTGAATATTATTATTAGGGGTATTTTGGTAATTATGTTACTTATAAGAATTTTTGAAACATAAGAAAGTAATTTAGATTAAGTGAAACATATAAGTAGGTGAAGAGAGATTTACGAATAATAACCTTTTTTTTTTTTTAAACTAATAATAATGCGTTTGGACCTCTTGAAATGTCAAAAATCATATTAGAATTTTGAGGGAATTACAAATCAGTAATATGTGGGATAGTAATAACAAATTTAAGGTGTAATTAGAAGTGATAATTGTATTTCAAATTCCCAAACTCTATCGGAATTATCGATGGCGAAAGCATAGTATTATAAGCCATGGTGATGCTATGGTACATTTAGGTGTACCATACATTTAGTTATGAACTTATATGATTTTATATCATAACCTATACCATATTAGTCATAACTATCACCATATTAACTCATAACTTAGTTATATTCAATTATTTACTTATACCATATTACTTCATAACCAGGTCATTAAAAGTGACCTGCTAAACAGGCCACTTTTTATAGTTATGAGCTAAAATCATATTTCTTCATAACTATAATCAAATTGATCATAACTTAGCTATAACTACATCTCATAACCAACACCATTTTGTTCATAACTAATATCACATATTTCATAACCACATCTCATAACCAACACCATTTTAGTCATAACTAACATCACATATTTCATAATCATAATCACATATCTCATAACCAACACCACTTTGATCATAACAAATATCACATATCTCATAACTATTGATCACATATCTCATAACCACATCTCATAACCAATCCCTTTGAGTCATAACCAACATCACATATCTCATAACCACAAGTCACATATCTCATAACCAACACCTTTTTGTCATAACTAATATCACATATCTCATAACCACTAATCACACATCTCATAACTACTACCCACATACATCATAACCACATCTCATAACCAATCCCTTTGAGTTATAACCAACATCACATATATCATAACCACTAGTTACATATCTCGTAACCAACACCTTTTTGTCATGACCAATATCACATATTTTATAACCACTAATCACATATCTTATAACTAACACCTTTTTGCTCATAACCACATCACTTTGATCATAACCAACATCACATATCTCATAACTACTAGTCACATATCTAATAACCAACATCACATATCTCACAACCACTAGTCACATAACCAATATCTCATAACTCATAACCATTAATACATATAGCATAACCACACCCTTTGACACCACTTTACTCATAACCATTACCCACATATCTCATAACCACTCATAACCATTACCCACATATCTCATAACCACTAACACATCTAGCATAACCAAACACCCTTTGACACCACTTTGCTCATAACCATTACCCACACATCTCATAACCACTCATAACCATTATCCACATATCTCATAACCACTAACACATATACCATAACCAAACATCCTTTGGCACCACTTTACTCATAACCATTACCCACATATCTCATAACCACTAACACATATAGCATAACCAAACACCTTTTGACACCACGTTGCTCATAACCATTACCCACATATCTCATAACCACTAACACATATAGCATAACCAAACACCTTTTGACACCACTTTGCTCATAACTATTACCCACATATCTCATAACCACTAACACGTATAGCATTACCAAATACCCTTTGACACCACTTTGCTCGTAACCATTAGCCACATATCTCATAACCACTAACACATATAGCATAACCAAACACCATTTGACACCACTTTGCTCATAACCATTACCCACATATCTCATAACCACTAACACATATAGCATAACCAAACACTCTTTGACACCACTTTACTCATAACCATTACCCACATATCTCATAACCAACATCACATATATCATAACTACCAATCACATATCTCATAACCAAACACCTTTTGACTTATAACTATACCACTCTGCTCATAACCAAAATCACATATCTCATAATCACTAATCATATATCTCATTACCTTTACCCACATATATTATAACCACATCTCATAACTAGCACCCTTTGTTTCATAATCAATATCACATATATCATAACTACTAATCATATATCTCAGAACCACTACCCACATATAAGGGTATAAAGTTAGCCCATGAGCTCGCAGCACACCCCAAGTCCACTCGTGCCCTGGGTAGGCCTAACTAGGCTTGAGTCTAAACCCAACCTAAGACCCTAAGCTATGTGTTCTAGAGCCCGATCTGACCCTGGTATGTTATAGAGTGTGACCCATCCCGTGAGATCGCCCCGAAATTTTCTTTCCCATCTAGCTCGACCTGACCCCAATGGCTCCTTGCCCCCATTGTCAGTGCAATGGTCAAAAATTTAAATCAAAACAATTTGAAAGAGTCATATAACCGTTAATTCCACCAACAATCAATTTTATTTATTTTTATTTTTATATATATAAATTAACTCCTCCCTCCCAAGTCCTAAAAATACCACCCCTCTCACATTTTATTTCTCACAACAAATTTGTCTCTCAAACTCTCATTCTCTCTAAACTTTCAGACATATACAAATCTTTGGCCGTAGTTATGATTTTATCAATTTGTACATATCTTATAGAACTGTTGAAAATGAATATTACGATTTTGCTGTACTGTTTTGCTATCTCAGCTCTCTTCATCTATCAAACATCTCTCTCATTCCT